AAGTAAGCGCATCTACGGAAACGGAAATTAGTAAATACTCTGTGTGACTCTCATGAAATACTTGACGCTGGCAGAATCCATTGGAAGTTGCCAAACTAGGAAAAAAAATCTAGATTGTTGGCGTATAAGGTTTCAATAAAAAAAATTGTCGGTTATTTTTATTATTATTTATGTTTCGTTTTTTTAATTACCTGTCTACAATCATTGTTTTTATATACGCGCATAAAAATTAGTCTTAAGAATTTTTAAAACTAAATTGTATTTTACAAATGTTACACGTCTAATATCTAATCTAAATAAAAAATAAATTTAAAGTTCTTTAACCACATAACAATAGTTCGTTACGAAAACCTATTGATAAATAAGTCGAGTAGATATCAATACGGTGCCGAGATCACATTCGCATGAGCCCGTACTAGAAGACACTTGATTGCATCATATGGTCTCCATTCGCATCGAATATTTACAAGTACCTAGTGTATAAAATCTGCCTAGTGTTTGGTTGATGTCCTCGGGACTAGTCCCGAATAGTCTCGGTAGTCGACAGACAGAGATAGAAAGACTGCGGAATAGTGTAGTTAAAAAAGGATAGAATATATTCTTACACATCATGAGTGTGCGTCGCGTTACTTTTATTTACATTGAAATATAGTTCAAATTCAAATGACTGACACAATAATTGTTCGCGCAAAACACTGTTGTCGGAGTCGACACCAGATGTCACTCGGCTCGGCGCGATTCCGGTTTAAAGTTCGGCTGGGCGTGGCACGAGCGCGCGAGTCGCGAGAGAAAAGTCAGTCGTCCATAATCGGTGCTGACGTGAGCACGCGGTCCATTCTGTTAGGGAACTCGGAATAATTCGGCGCGGCCAGTAAATATACGGTCTATCATTGTGACGCGCATTCCTACTGGAGAGCTTCCCGGGACTTATTGTGTCTGACTCAAAACCTGCATAAGTGCATTCGGCAATATTAGATAGTGCTGCCTCTGATATTCTAGAATTAGCTATTGCTACGCGAAACGGTAGTGACCTTTGACCCTTTAAACTCCGTGTGCGTTTGTGCGGTAACCATTATACCCAGCGATAGTTAGTGGCTTCTGTAAGTTAGTAAATCGTACGATAGAGTTAATTGACTGGCAACGTGACGAAAGAAGAAAGTGACTGTGGACTACCTCGAAAGGCGCCCTCAAGTTGGAGCGGTGTCGACGCTCGGGCTGCTGCCGACGGCCAAGGTCTAGGTTCAATCACCATCAGTCACACCCAGATACACACCACATCACCATTCCTTCCCTTGCACTACACAACCACATGCGACCTGACCGACTCCGGAGGGACCAGTCGCCTTGGATAGGTAAGTAAGCTTCATCCAAATTCCTTCCGGTCGACTGGCCGTAGTATAACGCTCCCCCATATATTTTAATGTAATTAGGAATTTCCACGTGGCCACATTGGGGCCCGACCTACGTCTGTTCGGGAAATCTTCAGCTCATGGGCCCCTGAAGATTGGATCCTTTAAGGGAGCAGCCGTAGGCCGTAACAATAATGATTTAGGCAAACACGAGTGAGCGGCAAAGCAGACTATTTCTTCGATTCGAATGGGCCGCCGCGCCAGTGCCGTGAGACGCATAGGCACTAGGGATGATCGATGTTGGCATCGATAGCTCAACATCGATGTTCGATGTGTTGCCTACTCAAGATATCGACGTTGATCATTATCGATGTTTTTTTTGTATATGTGTAGATACTTACATATTGTTTCAAAATTATGTGGGTATATCTACACATCAAGGGGAAAAGTAACAGTTAACTTAAATGTCAATTTACATAGAATAGTTATTATGCAACAACCGACAACGACACTACAAAATAAAGCGAAAGCAGTGACCACTGTGACATTACAGGTGATACTTGACAATTAAGTTTGATACGCCATGATTATATATTTTTAGGTAAGCAATGCATTCAGAAATTCTGAATTATTCTAAATTTTAAATCGTCAGAGGAGATGCAAGATTTAGTTGATATTGATTTCGAGAGGCGCAACGGAGATCCCGGGACCCCTCGTATACGCTGATGGTGACCACCGTAGGGTTTTAGCCGGTATGAGTCCGGCATAACCTTTTCGTTGCCCCCGCAGCGGAAGGTATCCATGAGGATTTCCCCACGTAAAAAAAAAAAGTTGATCGTCTTTTAAAAGTTGGAACCACTGACTTAGTAGGAACAGGTGCAACCTAGTCTCGTTTAATACCTAGTGCCTGGATCTGTTCTAGTATATACGCTTCATCTCTAGCAAAAAGTATAGTCATGAAGTTATAGATAAAGATGGAGACCACACTCCGAATACCTACTTGAAGCTTAACCTATGTATTACTATCTCGCTCTCTGTGGGCAGGCCCTCCCTTTCTAAGTAGGTAACCTTTATTTTATTTTTCCCAGGATATCGCTATAAGTAGTTGAGTTACATTAAGTGTTTTATTTATAAATATCTATATCTCTGTTTACTACTAAGACCTAGTCTATATAGATTATATATTTTTGTACAATTTTTTTGGGAATTGACTAGTTTTATGAAGAAAGGTTTTCATTTCCATGGGCAGAACCGGTATTAAAATATGACCACGCATTTCCGTCACAACCCATATAATGCCGAGCCTATTTAGAAAATGTGGAAAATAAATATATCAGAGAATATTTTATAACTACCATTTCGATAATGTATTTTCTGGTTATTGTATACAATTCCTAAACGGTACCAACGAAATATAAAATTAAAATTTATTATAACCCCGGGTGATCAATGAATTGGGCAAAATATACCTGATTTATTGTTCAGACAGACTAAATCTATTTCTGGACAATTGTTTAAAAAAAATATCACGAGGACTAAAGCAGCGTAGCGGAGCTCCTGCTTTAGCCTTCTGACCTAACCCATCCGAGTCAGGCTGCTCTGAGCTGAAATGTGTATAATACTATATTCCACACATCCAGTTCATTTTAAGAATTATCTACAATTCCTAGGAATTCTATATAATAACGGATTTCATAGATTTCTAGTAACATGTACTATAATAGGAACGATAATATATTATTATTTTGAGTTGTTATCAGGAAAATGCCGCTGCCCATCTCCTGTTTCATTTTCCCTCTGACACCTCTTACAACACCCTCGGAACGATATGGGGTAGTGGATATTCTCACACCACCACTACATGGTTTGTTAAAAACCTTTAAAAAATAAATAAAAACACTTTCCATATTAAAATTATTTATTGAATTTTTCACACCATGTGGATTACTCTGTGGCTTTTTGAAGTCCTTACAGATATGAGCGAAGCGCCCTTGAATAATATTTTCAATTTCTGACTGACCCGTATACTTTTTAATAGTGTCCATTAAAGAAGACCTATCCTGAATTTTTTAGTTTGGCGCGCCACTTTTTGCTTAAGAATCTTAGTTTTCGTCTCAAGTATTTCTTCTTTAGTACACTTTATTTTCACTTGCACGCCCCTATCAATCTTCGCGGGATCGTCGTATTCACTGCTGACCTAAGAAAACAAAAAAACTTTATGAAATCAGTATTTTTAGCATCGTACATCGTCGTAGGGGTACAGGGTCGTAGCGTGATGTTAGATAGACTTCCTGAAGAATTGGTTTTAAAAATGCAAAAAAATGTTTTCAAATCAGACTGGTATAGTTCCAGAGATTAGAGAACTCTAACAAAAAAAAAGAAACAAATAACTCTTCTACATCATAATGAATTTTTCGACATTGTTTTTTACTAGTTTGGTCTTCAATATTACAGCCAGTACATTTCACTTCTGTTTCCTTAAGTGCAGAACTACTTTCATAAATGTCAGAACTAGTGCTTGGTACAGCCAGAGCAGCTATTTGCACAATAGACTCTTCATGTAATGCACTTATTGTCTGCAAATAATAACATATTTTACAAAATGTTGCTTTATATCATACATCTAAACTACTACATTTCTAAATACATAATTATTATAAGCGTTATTAAAGTATCAGAATAATGAGAAACAAAAACTAAATAAAAATAAATTGTCTACCAAAAGAATATATTATGTTACTCATTTTTAATTTAATATTATGAAATCCGTCATTATACAGAATATATAGGAAGTGTACATAATTCCTAAATTTCATGCATTTCCGGTAACATTATAAGAAACATGTACATATAATTAGTTAAGGTCACACGGAAAGTCTCAGATACATCATCAATATGGTCACACTACTTCAGTGCGATTTGTTTTAAACAAAAACAATAAAATTGTTCAAACTTAATTAAATTCAATGTAAAACTATTTGATCTTGACAAAGTTATAATTTACTAATATGTTTAAAACACTGATAAAACGTTTCAGCAAAAAATTAAGTGAAAATACAAAAAGTATGTTTACAAGTATTCAATGTCAGAAGTCACTATTTAAACACTTACGTGTGAAATCTTATATCACCTCCTGGACACCAACTACTGTCGCAACCACGTACTACACAAGTTTTCACCATTTCTTGAATTATAACAATAATTAACTTTAAATATCTCAAACGACGCTGTGAACTGCTAAGTAAACAACCGCCATATTTGTCTAATTTATGTTGACTTATAGGGCTAATGTTGCCATATTACCGAATCCTTAGGAAATGGGATTGTAGTACACTGATGCATGAACCCAATAATGCATACGAGACCTTTAGTTTTGGAATTTTTAATGTAACTAATCGTAGATCAACTATTTATTGGTTGGTACATTATTTTACAAAGCTTAACTTCTGATTTAGTTAGTGTGGAAATTATTTCTAAGAATTTACCGGGAGATTCAAATAAAAACATAGCAATATTGTGTTCCACACTAAAAAGAGAAGTCAGACCACAGAGAGTGAGATAGAGATACGTAGGTATTTGACTCACCCCGGCTCCACACGTTGGCCCCAATATAGGTCCCAACGCTACTCGTCCAACGTGTGGATCTAGAAAATGGCATTGGTCCCAACGTTGGAGCGAGCGTTGGTAGTTGGCCGGCTCGTGTCGGTTTCATCAAAGGAATCTGCGCCAACGCTCGCGATCTGTCCACACGTTGGCACTTTGCTCAGTTCTGTTGCAACACGCAGCAAGTGCGTACATCGAGCGAGAATGGCTTCCTCATCCACAAAATCGCCACCGGAATGGACGATTGAAAAAGTCATAGAATTTATTGAACTTTATCAAGCACATCCAATAATATGGGACGCAACTCGAAAGGATCATAAGAATAAAAATTTATTAGCTGATGCATGGCGCACCATTCAACAGAATATGGGAATGAATTTCTCAATTGAAGATTTAAAAAAAAAGCGAGAATCATTAATGAGCACATATCGCCTTTACAGAAAGAAAATTAGTGACTCTACTCGATCTGGATCATCAACAGATGATATTTTTAAACCAAATTGGTTCGCTTATGAGCTCATGGATAGGTTTCTTGCTCCGATTTATGATAAATCAGATACAGTTACTATTAACACAGAGGTAAGATAAACATTGATTAATTTTTACTTTATTTACATAGATAAAATCACAAACTGTGACAAATTACATACTTAATCTAAAGCACTTAGTTGTTTATTTCGAAAAAATCACCTGGGTAGGTAGGTACACTGAACCACAGGCTAGACGTAACATGATGACCTTGAGCACGCCTTTATGCCCTACGTATTAAAAGATGTTTTCGTAGTGCAACTGTTACATAGATACATCTGACCTGTGGCTCTGTGTACCTAAATCTACATAATAATTTTGTAGGTCGGTAGATTTTTTATTTAGTGTGAATAAAAGTATGATGCAAATTCATTACGTATTTATCTAGCATTTTCTGTTGTTCTAATTGGTACTTGATCTAGTGATCTTAATTGTTGCTCTTCTAAAACATTATCTATATTACCTTCCGGCATATACATACGGTAGGAGTGCTGGCTCTTTTTCAAAAAATTATGAAGTACAACGCAAGTGAGTGTTATAATAGATGCTTTTTCGGGTTGTAGTAATATATTGGTTTTTAACACTCCAAATACCGATGTCATTATTCCAAATGCACATTCAATCACAACACGAGCCCTTGATAGTCGACTGTTGAATTTTCTATTTTGTGAGCCAACTGGCGGTGTACCAGGAAAAGGTTTCATGATCCTTTTAGATAATGCAAAAGCTCCATCTGCCACAAAAACATAGGGCACAGGAAGATGTCGATCAGGTAAAGGAGCGTCTTGCGGAAAAAAGGAATCAGGTCCATATATTTTGTTATAAAGCATGCTATCATTAAAAACTCCACCGTCACTCATACGTCCATGTGTTCCTACGTCAGCAAATAAAAAGTTGTAGTCACTATCAGCTACCGCTAGTAATATTATACTGAAATTGTGTTTATAGTTATAGAACTCTGATCCATTATTAATGGGTGACTGTATTTTAATGTGTTTCCCATCGATAGCGCCCAAACAATGTGGAAATTGCCATTTTATTTCAAATTCTCGAGCAATCTCAAGCCACTCGTGTTCATTTTGTGGCATCTAAAACAAAAATCGTCAAAGCCATTCGGGGTGGGTCAGGTTACCCTAAGAAAATGTCTTTGAAAGATATAGAGTACACCGATGGTATGGACATATGCAATGCTTTCAACTCATTCTTCAAGAGTGTATTTGGTATTCCTAGTAATAACTACATATATCCACATACGGAATCGTTGTGTACTGACACCGTTTCTAATGTACAGACAAACGCTGCAATAATTGAAAAAATGTTGAAAACTTTGGACACGAACAAAGGTGCCGGTAGTGATGGGTTACCTTCTTTTTTTTGGTCACGATGCGCTAAATCACTTGCTCTCCCCTTGACTATTATATTTAATCGCTCTCTACGTGAAGGGATATTTCCGCATCAATGGAAGTGTGCACACATAATCCCTGTACACAAGAAGGGATCACGTACAGAAATAAATAATTATAGAGGCATTTCTATTTTGAACACCGCGGCTAAAATCCTTGAACGAGTAGTATATAACGTAATTTACTCCACGCTTTCACGTGCCTTCCCTGAGCAGCAACATGGTTTTTTACAAAGGCGATCCACCACTACGAACCTGGCAAGTTTTTCTTCTTTTGTCCTTGAAAATATGGATCAAGGTGGGCAGGTTGATGTGATCTACACTGATTTTGAAAAAGCTATCGATCGTGTGGATCACATGATCCTGCTCAACAAATTACAAATATTAGGGATTCACGGTGACTTGCTCCGATGGACTGAATCATATCTCACAAACCGCTCACAAGCAGTCGTGATAGGTGGTTTCCGTTCGGACTACATAAACATACCTACAGGTGTTCCTCAGGGCTCTCACTTAGGTCCACTTTTTTACAATGCCTACCTATATGACATTGGTTCGTGCATTATACACACAAATTACCTCATGTATGCAGATGATAAGAAGATTTTTTGTAAAATTAACACCATACATGACTGCCTATTGATACAAAAAGACCTTTTTTATACCCGCAATACTACATTGTTACAGACTCCCTGGCATCATTCAAACTACTGTCGAAACACTGTTCTTTCGCGGCTTGCTCGTACATATAATGAACAATTTGGACACATTGACCTCTTTGCGAAATCTAAACTTACGTTTAAAGATTACATCAAGAAAACTATTACGAAATAGAGCAGTTGAAGTTAAAATCACATACAATCATATATTCTCTCATCTATTTCTTCTATATGTATTTTTGAGGCTACTAATATAAATATAAGTACTTAAGTTATTTTATTTAATATATATTATAATTAATTATTTGTATTATGTTTATATATTTAAACATTTAATATGTATATATACATAAGTAAATAATATATATGTATGTATATATATATATATATCTTATATGTTTATATATATATATATATATATATATATATATATATATATATATATATATATATTTATATATATATATATAAAGGTAACGTAATATATCATTCTACCTGACTATCTCTCCTGATCTGTAAACTTATGACCACCTTCATTACATTGAATTGCTTATAATTTATCTATTAGATTGTTCTTTTTTCTTTTCTTCTAACAACAATACACCTACCATCAAACAATATAAGGGAAACCTGTTATTGGCCATACTTTAAGTTTGTTACATTAATGTTAATATTTTCTATATACGCTGTTGGTTTTCTAAATAAATAAATAAATAAATAAATTTAAATAAGGGTTGAAATTTACTTGTTGTGTTTGAATTTTTAGACTATGGAGTTTCCTAATGAAGACAGCAATCAAGATAGAAGCTTTTCTAATGAAGGCAGCATTCAAAATAGAAGTTCCACGTCAGCCAAAAAACGGCGAGAATCAGAAGTCACGGAAGTACGAGCTCAGATTAAGACAGCTGTAAATGTCCTAAAAAATCTCTCCGACCGACCACGAACTGAAGTGGACGAGGTAGATTTATACTGTCAACTACTGGCCAAAAAAATTAAAAAATTTAATGAGCAACAAAGGGAGGTTATAATGCACGATATAGACGAACTTATTTATCAGAAGCGAAATGACTCTTACTTAAATATTAATAGCCCTGCTCGTAGCAGCACTTACTCGTACGTAAGGTCTACCCCGGATTCCGTGCGTTTTACACCTACACCATCTCCTTCATCACAAATGTTGGCGTACGATATGTCTACCCGAGATTCTGTACGTTATGCACCTATAACATCCCCTTCGCCTCAAGTGATGCCAAGCCCGTCATATCACGTTGCTGATGATTATAGTGATTATACAGTTGTATCACCAAATCATAGCCAAGTAGAATATGTGACAGGTTCATCCACCTCCACCACATCTACTCCAAAGGTGACAATTATATCAAATGATATTATCTCTCAGGCATTTACTCTTTCTCAGATACAAAATAAGAATTGAATGCTAATGCAAGGACTCGATTGCTTTCTCTAATTATTTTTCTCAATAAACGTGTTTTTGATTATTATTATTATGGTTTTATTTTACAAAATATACAAAAATACTTACTTTTACAAAAGAACGCAATGCCTCACATAGTGCTTTACATACTTCCGGCACGATCAACGATATGACTTGAGGAGAAATCTTAAATAGGTAATGAAGACTTTTGAATGAATCACCAGTCGCTAAAAATCTAAGTGTCACAGCAAGGCGTACTTTGGTTGGTATTGAGTCTCTGAATACTGTATCTTGCTTTTTTATTCTTGGTCCAATCAACTGTAGAAGGTATTCGAAATCTATCGAAGACATACGACAAAAGTTATCAAACTGTCCTGATGGCTCTTGAATCAAATTACTCAATAATCGGGTTCCATCATACCTAAAAAAGAAAGAAAATGTAAATATAGAATCAAAAAGAAATTTAATATTACAGCTCCTGTAAACAACTGCTGATATAATTATAGTTTGTTGTTGATGTTATTAGAATATTTAAAATGGAGTGTATAACAAGATCTTTACTCACTGATTCCGTGTTTTATGATGTGTCGTCATCCACCATCTTCTTTGACGTGGGTTTTTATTTTTTCTCAGTAACAAATATAAATGTGCACTCAGTACTATAAAAGCGCTCAGAGCAGTTTCGATTTCTGTATCGGACATCTTCACATTGGCCCTGACGGGCCAGAACTAGTTTATTAGCCAACGTGTGTACGCCTCACCGAACTCGCAGTCCAACGTTGGTACGAGCGTTGGGACCAACGTGTGTAGCCGGCCTCAAGCTGTTGTTCCAAGTGTGGCCTCCATCTTTATCTATAACTTCATGAGTATAGTACGTAAAACATAGATAAGATATATTATTAAAATACTATATCTATGACGTAAAATGTCCATCACAGATTCCATAGATAATACAATACTAATACTATGTCTATGTATATACCAGATTCACAGACCAGATAAGAGAAACTAACGTTTTGATGTCCATGTTTTAAGGTTATGAAAACAGTCATTGCTAATAATCTAAGATTCAATAAATTTACTTTGTGCAAGATATTCATTAATATCTTAATGTAAAACAAAACACATGAGCTAAAATGTCTAAAGTAACAAAGAGAAAACATGTGATGAATGAAGCCCTGTGGGATGATTACGAACTTCCCAAAGAAAATCAAAGTATCGTCAAAGTTTTAAAGAGTAAAGGAAATAATCTTCATGAGGTATTATATTTTTTTATTACTTGCCTATTTATAATTGATTGATAGCTTATATACTCTAATTGAAATAATGTAATTAACTTTTAAAGATTGTTTACTGGCATATCATCCCATGGGTGTTGTAAGAGGCGACAGAGAGAAACAAATCAGATGTGCAGCAGCATTTTCCTAATAATGACTAAAAATAAGATGCTGCAGTTCCCAAACTGCTTACCAATCATGGCAACTATGGCAAATATCCCCCCTATGAGGCAGTCTATGGAGGAGGCTTATGTTCTGCAGTGGACTTTAATAGGCTATAACAGTTATAGTAATCAATTTTAAAAATCTATAAAGCCCCATGCTTAGTTTTATAACTGCTGTTAAAGAAATTCTAATGAGACAATTGTTTGATTAAAAGAAAATATGATTTTAGATCACAACACCAGCTGGTGAAGAATATTTAGTATCAATGCCTACAAAATTTAGAAAGAACATTTGGGTGAAAAGAGGAGACTACATTCTCGTTGAACCTATACAGGAGGGTGATAAAGTGAAAGCAGAAATTGTGAAAATTTTGAGCAAAGACTCTATAAAATTCTATAAAGAGAATAATGTGTGGCCAAAAGAATTTGAGGACAGTAAAAAACAGGAGGTAACAGTTGATGATGACGACTTGTTTGTGAATACTAACAGGACACATGTACAGCCTTATCAAAGTGATAGTGACTCTAGCAGTGATGATAGTGAAAGTGAAAGTGAGGGTAATGAAAAATGAAATATATTTCTGTAACAAATTTTATTTTAATATTATTTTTGAGGTTACACTGAAAAATAGTACAACACCAATGTTATAGAAATAGTCATGTCATGTTATCATTCGGATCCACAATCATGATCGGGTGATCAAAGAAATAATCATTGTCCATGGATCCACAACCCTGTGGATCCATGGACAATAATTATTTTCTTCTTCGATCTACCTGTGGATTCATGTGTAATAATTTCACCTCTTTGATCTAAGATATTCAAAATATAATAAATTGATATGATAAAGTATTGCTCAAGATAACTGGCGGGAAATGAAGTTTTATTGCATTATATAAGTTGTGTATGTACCACACTGTTGTGTTCAGGTCTGAAGGGTATAGAGAGCGAGTATAATTACAGGCATTCAATCTTAGTCCTTAGAGATGACAACACGTCTGTTCTGTAGCCTTCTTTGTACATAAGTTGGATCGCAAGTTCTATTATAATTATTACAGAAACAAGGTCAATGGTTTAAAAAGTAATTAAAAAAACCTGTGTAAATAAGATTGCTGAAAAAATATTTTTTTTTTTACTCTATGTCACTACCATAGCTAAGACTTACTCTACTAGACAAAGGTGTGGATCAAAATTGCATTGAAAGGTATTGCTTTTTGACCCCGACATTGATGGACTGAACTGGCACAGAAAAATAGTATTATTTTTGGATCCTTACAAAGGTAGATCAAAGTGGAGAAAAAATTAATCATGGATCTACCTGTGGAATATGGTTGTGGGTGCAAATGGATGAAGTCAATCGGAAGGTTACGAACATTTGATACTAAAAATATTTAAGCAAATAATAAATAACTCTATCAACACTCACGTCAATACTCATAATTTGGCAATGATTACTATTTACAAAAAAAAAAACAACTAAGATAAATTTTTAATACTATCATAATACAATATAAACTAATAGGGTGGGTGAGCTAGTCCCACACCAGGAACCAGAAATAGACCATTTCAATCTTCAAACCTAAATAAATATTAAACATCTTTTGAATTTGCCCCCTGTTCACGCCAAACGCTGTTTTGTTGTATTGACGTCAAAGGGCGCGGGGCTCGGTGCCATACTGGTTTTGACGCGGTCGAGCGGTGGGTGTTGAGAACGCGTAAAGGTGCAAGGCAGTCGTCTGTCAGCGGTGCTAACGTCGGCACACTGTCAATTTTGTTCGGGAGCTCGAAATAGTTGGACACGGATGGTGGATATTCTGTCTGGGATTTATGACGCGCAATCCTTGCAGGACAGCTTCCCAGGGACTCATTGTGTCCGACACGGAGTCTTTATAAGTGCATTCGACAATATTAGCTAGTGCGGCCTTTGATATTCTAGAAATAACTGTTGCTACGCGAAACGGTAGTGACCTATGATCCGGACACTCCCTGTTCATTTTGTGTGTTAGGCTTTATAACAAACGAGAGTTAGTGGCTTCTGTAAGTTAGTTAATGGTACGATGGAGTAAATGGACTGTCATCATGACGAACGAAGAAGTGGTCCGGCGCCGAAGCAGTCTGAAGCGGTGCAGCATTTTGGAGCAGCCTGGAACTCGGCCGCTGCTGGTTTATGCTTGCCAAGGCCCCACACCTTCACACCTCACTGTACACTACTCGCCATCCACTATTACACACACTCACAGCCTGCCCAAGCCTTGGTGCGAAGTTAGCTTCGGATAATGGCAAGTACTACGTGTTTCTAGCTTTCTCCCTTATTGTTTATTGTAATTAGGAAATTCCACGTGGCCATATTCTGGCCCCGTCCCTCTGCTGCTCGTCGATGGGATTACTCATGGGCCCTAATCCCGTCATCCTTGGTTAGGGCAGCTAGGGGCGTGTACAATCTGGTAGCAAAGCGTGGTTCCGGGTTCGATTCCCCGGTCGATCCCGACCATAGTGTTTGATAAAAATTAAACAATTCTGGTGGCAGGGAGCGTTGGTTTGATTGGTTTAATTTGTATCTATAATCACGCCCGTCCGTAATACGTAAAAATATTTTTTTGTACGTAATAATAAAATTATTTTCCTTTGTTGCTTGCTTATTTGGTTAGTGGGTTGAAAAGCCGCGCCCTATGATGCGCAAGCGTGAGTTTTTCTAGAGGTATACGTCATGTAGGTAGATGGTTATTTTTACGTAATCGGTTAATTATCGTTGTCGGATAGTTGTAGTGGATTACTTATCGAAGGGTCGCTTTCCGAGCTAGGCATTTTTTGTTGATCGACCGTGATGTGTATCTTCGTTTGTATTTGAACTAAAGAGTAGTAATTTGTATTTGCGCCATTTGAATTTAACTTGATTTGATCGCACTAGTATTTGTTAATTTGATTTGTGTCTTTTCTTTTGTGCTAACTTGTATTTGGTTGATACGTAGTAATTCGTATTTGTGTAATTTCTATTCAACTCGATTTGATAGGAACTGCATTTATTAATTGTTAATTTTTTGTTGTACTTTTTATTTGTTATCTTTGTAATTTGTGCTCGAGCCGCGTCGTAATTTGTATTTAGTAGTGATGTCATCGCCCAAGCTACTAATCTGTTGCCTGCGGACTGAGTTACGCTGGGCCACAAGCGCCCATGCTTTGATAGGTCGACCGGATAGGGTCCATAAGTTGATGAAGCGGTTCGAGCAGGTGGATGCTCGAAGGATCGCAGTGGAGGAGGCTTACGCTGAGCTCGAGGATTCGGATGTGGAGAAGGGAGTCCTGGACTCCTGCTTCGCGGACTATGAGCAGTTCTTTTCGCTCACGGACGAGTTGATCGAGGCTGAAGGCAGGTATGCCGAGGAGGCGCGTAAAGCTCGGATGAGTTTTAGGGCTGCGCCCGAGTCCTCTCGGGAGCAGCTTCAGCCGGAGCTGTTGGGACGACTCCCTACTCTGGATCTGCCAAAGTTCTCCGGGGCCCTTTCCGAATGGCTGACCTTCGTTGGTCTTTTCGACAGCCTAGTGGACGCCCGGAGTGACTTGACCCCGAGCCAAAAGATGGCGTACCTCCTGGCCTCACTGGAGGGAGAGGCCCTGGGCGTCGTCGGCCACTTGAGATTGTCAGACGACGCCTACCCGACTGCTCGGGACCTCCTAGCCAGAAGATACGCCAACGTACGGCGAATTGCGGACGAACATGTTAAGCAGCTTCTAAGCCTCCCGCTGCTTAGTGACCGGGCCAGACTACGTCCGGACCTGTTGGATCCAGTCCTGGTGGCCTGTAATACGTTGAGGCGGCTGGATTTACCAGTGGGCGAATGGGCTTTTTTGTTGCTCCGCATTGTGCTGTCCCGTCTACCTCTCGACCTTCGAATCCATTTTGAGGAGAGGTACGGCGGGGACGAGGCCTCCTATATTCCGCCCTTCTATGACCTGCTGCGGTTTTTGGAGGAGCAGTGCCGGCAGATCGAGAACGCGACGGGCACCGTTGACGACTTACGAGCCGTGCCCAGTGAGAGGCTGAATCCGCCAGGCAAGTCGTCGTCAACCCCCCCCCCCCCCCCCCTGCTCCTATTGTCGAGCATCTGATCACCGGGTAACGTCGTGCCCGAAATTATTAGGTAAGCCGGTTCCGGCGAGGCGAACTATCGCCAGGGAGCGCCGCTGGTGCTGCTCATGTTTGGAAGGGCACCTCCAGCGAGACTGTCCGCATCGGCGGCCCTGTCTGCATTGCCAGGGCAATCATCATGCAGTTTTGTGCCTGGGTGCGAACGGCGTCTCCTCTCGGGGCTCTGCCAGGCCCGCGACCCCCACGGGCGGGGGCGCTCAGGTACGCCCTCTGCCGGGCGACTCTCGGCGCCCGCCGGCCAGCCACCAGGCCACCGCCGCCACTGAGCCTTAAGCCGTCAACAGTCCACTTTTCAAAATGTTCTGTTGCCGACGGCCTCAGTGAAGGCGTACAACCCGAGTGGCGACTGTTAGCGGTTGCGCTCTATTGGTCTCGTGTTCACGCCGTGTGGCCTCCACTTGGTGGTGGGAAGATTAGGGCCCCCCTGGAGCGTTGAATCACGCTGTCAAGGGGTATTAGATTTGGTTTAGTCGAGCACTTAGTTAAAATTCTTTAAATTAAAATTAAAAATGCTTTTGGTTTTCCGCGAAATTTCCATATTTGTAGCGGTTGTGATTATATGTTTGTAAATATATTTAATCACTGTGTTTGTTGCTGCACGGAAAATTGGAATTGAATTATGTGCCCTTTTGAATGCTTGTGCGTATGCTTTGTAATTGTATTTGATTGTTGCGCCTGGTTGCTGAAAAGAAAGTTTGAATTCATTTGAAATTGAATGTCGCGCTATTTGGAAAATTATGTATATGTTTTGTGATAGTGTTTAATCTGTCTAAGTTATTTAATTGAGAAATAGGTCTGTCTCTTGCGTTTATTGTTTTTTTTTTAATTTGTCAAGTTGACCTATGTGCATCGGTGATTAATTTGGTTGAATTGATTGTGTAGTTGAACATTGATGCTTTGAAAAATTAGTTGAAATATGAGCATAGGACTGCTTGTCTAACAGGCTAGCTAGTCTTGGAGATTATCAGATTGAAATCAGCTGTCGCACTATTTTAGTAAATGATAATATGGTGGGTGGCCTGGCTAGGCCTACTTGTTGAAAATTCATACTAGGGACTATCTGTGCGTTTCGTTTGGCTCTCCACAGACGACGTTCATAATAAAATAATAATAAAAATAATAAAAATCTTTATTGATCAACTAAAACTTTACAATTATCTTGAAACATGGTTGGAATCTACTTTTAAGTGTAAAAACACCTGTGCCAGAAGATCCCGCTCCTCCATAGCCATAATACAGATAGTGATCAACTTAATCCGTAAGATATAATAAACTATTAAAGAAAAGTATGTAGTGTGTGTGTGTGTGTGTGTGTGTGTGTGTGTGTGTGTGTGTGTGTGTGTGTGTGTGTGTGTGTGTGCGTAGTTTAATTTTTTTAACCATTTTATCAACAACTGTTTACAATTATATCTATTCATTTTATATAATATTGAGAATTTTGTTTATTTTATTGTAAATAAAAACTGATTGTTTTTTATATTGATGAGAAGCAAATTTTGTGTTTACTTTCTGCGCTACAATTACTGTACCTCTTCTTATTCGCAAAATGTTCGAATCATAATTAAGACTACTATGCATTTTTAAAACGGTTTGTAAAATGTATAATTTTCTTACAGTAAGTAGCTCACATATTTCGTATAGCTTTTCTGTACAAAATCCATACGGTTTAAAAAACATTACTTTTAGTAATGCTCTTTGAGCCCTTTCCACTTCCAAAAATTTAGTTTTGGAGGCGCCACCCCATATAGGAATGCAGTATGCCAATATAGATTGTACCAACGCAATGTATACTTTAATTAGTATATTTTTTGATGCTACATGTCTAAGTTGCTTAAAAATCCAAATTAGCTTTCTGACCCTACCTATAAGATGTTCTATTTGGTTGTGCCACGTCAAACGGTGGTCTATAATTATACCTAAATACTTAATAGCCGATGCTTTGTTTATGGTTGGACAAGTACAATCTGTATCACTAACGTTTTTACATTTATGAATTTTTATATTAAAATCGTTTTTTGGTTGGGTCCGGTTATTGATGGTAAAGCACAGGTAATTAGTTTTTTGGTCATTAAGCGTAAGCAAGTTAGTCCTAAGCCAGAAGGTTATTTCGGCCAGTCCCTGTTCACCACGTTTGCGAACTGCTTCCCAAGTTGTATCATGAAATACAACAACCGTATCATCCGCGTAAGAAAAAATTTGAGCTCCATCTATTTTTAGCTTGCATAAATTGTTAATATAAACAAGAAACAAGGTAGGGCCTAGTACACTACCTTGTGGGACACCGTAGGTAACAAAAGAGTCATCACTAACATACTGTCCAATTTTAACTTTTTGTTTTCTTTCAGACAAGTAGTCCTTCAATAAGTTTAGTGGTGTACCTACGATGCCAATTGTTTCTAGTTTTTGTATAAGGATGGGAATCGAGACAGTGTCAAAGGCCTTTTTAAGATCTAGAAAAACGGCTAAGGTTTTCCTTCCTTGATCTAGTTGGTCAACGATTGTGGAGGTTATATGTATCTACCAGGTGTACAAATAAAAGGTAGTCCTGTACTAACACACACTCTATTTAATATACACGAGTACAAAGTCACACCGAAATAAATATACAGAAGGAGAATGCAACGTAAGTTCTAAACAAGAAGGAAGAAGTACAGTGGTAAAGAGAAACTCAAAATGTAACAATAAATTAAGAAAGATAGGCACACGTAAACAATTATTAAAACGTCTATGATACAATGAGATGATCTCTCCGCGTCGAAGCCCGTAAGCGACTGGTCGACTGATCATGGGGGCGGTGCTCTCCCACCGCGAGCCCGCAACCTCTGCCTCAGGAAATTACCATATATGGTGTTGTATCGACGATGCCGCACGGGATCGAATCTACGAAACGTCGACCAACGGATAGGACGAGTGTATAGTGTAAATGTGCGTGTGTGTGTGACTGTATGATTGTATGTTTGTGTGAAATGTAGGAGATCCCCTACATCACCCCCCTCCAGAGACCTGGTTAAGGGCAATAAAAATCGGTAAATCTCACTCTACGTCCTGAACGAGTTATATATTCATTCAAATTATAGTTTTGTACATGATCTTGATTTGGGGCTTCACACAATATATAGGCTGGTTTAAGTCGATCAACAGACACTGTGGATGATTTACCATTAATTAATATATTGAAGGTTTTGTCTGACCTAGCCAACACTTTGTGTGGTCCACTATACGCGGGCTGGAGGGATCCACGAGATGCATCCTCCCGTAGGAAGACGTGTTCACTGTTAGCGAGATCTTTAAAAATAAAAACTTTATTACTATTATGGCGAGATGCTGGCACTGGGTGTAATTTTTGTGCGAAACTGCGTAAGCGGGATATGAACTCAGTCATATCCGCTGCGCTGTTGTCTTGAGGCTCAAAGAATTCACCAGGCAGCCTTAATGGTTCGCCATAAAGTAATTCGGCGGAAGACGCCTGTAAGTCTTCCTTAAACGAACTGCGTATGCCCAACAATATCCACTGACGTCCGCGATCTGTAACTATTTCTGTTGGGCAACCGAATCGAGATATCCAACAAGACAGCAATGCCTTAGCGACTGTTTCTGCTGTTATGTTGGTAATTGGGACGACTTCGGGCCAACGTGTAAAACGATCGACACACGTTAAACAATAGCGGTAGCCCTCCGATAGTGGTAACGGTCCGACTAAATCTATATGGATCTGTTTAAAACGTGCACGAGGTAGCTTAAATGTACCAAGTGGGGTTGTAACATGTCGACTTACTTTGGATCGTTGGCATGATAAGCAACTTTTAGCCCATTCACGACAGTTCTTCCTAACGTTCGGCCAAACAAATCTCTCGGATACTAATTTAGCAGTAGCATTTGCGCCTGGGTGACTTAAGGAATGTAAGCTATCAAATACTTGCTTCCGAAAAAACTTTGTCACGAACGGCCTGGAAGTCGGTGTACAGACGTCACAGTATAATGAAATACGGCTTCCAGGTATGGTTAATTTTTCAAGACGCAGTGAAGAGCCTTCTCGGATAAGCTTTTCTAACTCGGGATCAGAAACCTGACTTTTTGCTAAAGCTTCGAGGTCTATCGGAGCTTCCAAAACTTCAACCCGGGACAAAGTGTCGGCAACAACATTGTCCTTGCCAGAAATGTGTCGGATGTCTGTGGTGAATTGAGATATATAATCCAAGTGTCTGTACTGCCTAGGAGAACAGTTTCTTTTTCGTTCGTGAAATGCGAAACTGATCGGCTTATGGTCAGTGTACACTATAAAATTTCTAGCTTCCAGCATGTGGCGAAAATATTTGATTGCCTCATATATTGCCAGAAGCTCCCTGTCATAAGGTGAATATTTTTTTTGAGACGTGCTAAGTTTGCGTGAGAAAAAAGCTAATGGCTGCCACGCGTCGTCTTTCAGCTGTTGTAATACAGCTCCTATTGCCTTGTCCGAAGCGTCTGTGACAAGAGCGAGTTTTGCCTGGCAATCGGGATGCGCTAACAATGCAGCGTCAGAAAGACTTTCTTTGCAGGCTTCGAAAGCCTTTAAAGATTCGCCTGATAAAATGATTGGCTGTTTATTTTTCAGCACGCCTTTTAATAAATTGTTAAGTGGCGCTTGCTTTTCTGCCATACGTGGCAAGAAGCGCCTGTAAAAATTGATCATGCCTAAGAAACGTCGTAGCTGACGTACGTCAGTAGGCAATGGAAATTTTTTAATGGCTTCGATTTTCGAGTCAAGTGGTTTGGTGCCTGACGCCGAGATGCTATATCCTAAAAAAGATATTTCTCGGGCACCGAAAACGCACTTAGACGTGTTTATTAACATGCCATATCCCTTAAGTATGCTAAATATTTTACGTAAATGTACTTCATGTTGAGCCTCGTCCTTTGAAAATATTAGAAAATCATCTAAGTAGCAATAACAAAAGTCTAACTCCCGAGTCATTTCGTCTACGAACCTCTGGAACGTTTGGCTCGCGTTTTTCAAACCGTAATTCATGAAAGCAAATTCAAACAGGCCGAAAGGTGTTGTTACTGCGGTTTTTGGAATGTCGTCAGGATGGACCGGTATTTGGTTATAGGCCCTGACAAGGTCAAGTGTACTAAAGATGGTACAGCCTGAAATACTGTGTGCGAAGTCCTGAATATGCCTAATTGGATACCTATCGGGTATAGTACGGGCATTCAACATTCTATAGTCTCCGCAGGGACGCCAGCCATTATCTTTTTTAGGGACTAAATGTAGTGGTGAAGACCACGGGCTTTCCGATGGTCTGACTATTCCGTTATCGAGCATAGATTGAAATTCCTGTCGAGCAATTTTAAGTCTATCTGGAGCGAGGCGACGTGGTGTGCAAGATACTGGTGGACCTGGTGTCGTGCGGATATGGTGTACAGTGTTGTGTGGTGTGGTGCGGTGCATACCTGCTGGTCGAGTGATCTCGGGAAATTCTGCCAATATTTTATGGTATTTTGTCTCCTCAGTTAAGATCTTTATTGATAAAATATTATTAAATTTAACTCGTGAGGCAGTGGCTGTTACACACGTGGTATTATCAACTATACATTTATTTCGACAATCTACAATAATGTTATAGTGATTTAAAAAATCTACACCTATGATAGCCTTAGTTACATCTGCAACTACGAAACGCCACGAAAATATTCGACGTAAACCAAAGTCTAAATTTAAATACACATAACCATAAGTGTTAATACATGAACCATTTGCTGCACTTAGCTGATATGTGGTCCGGGCACGACGTTCTCGTAGCAGCGACCGTGGGAAGACGCAGAGGTCGCTTCCAGTGTCGACCAAAAACTGGGTCTTCGAGGCGCGGTCAGTGATGAATAAGCGACCAGTAGACGTGGGGCAATCGTCGGTCGATATTACCGATTGCCCTTGGGGTTTTCCGACTTGAAATCGCATGGTCGGACGCATTTGTCTGCTTTGTTGCCGTACTTGAAGTGATACCAGCAAGTAGGATATTTATTATAGCTGGACTGAGATCTTGACGTAGAACGGTGTTTTCGCACAATACGTCTAGAGCGTGATCGTGATCTGCTGTTCCTTTGGGTAAGTGTAAGCGCTTCGACTTGTTTTCTGAGAGCGATGACTTCTTTGGCAAGATCAATGTCATTCGTTCCACCGAAATGAGCTTGGCTTGTGGACGCTATCTGGGGTGCTGAGGGCACAATGTCATGGATTCTGTCAGCAATGTCGGCTAGATTATCAATCGAAGCAAACGGTTGACCTGCCAGAAAAGTTTGGATACTAATTGGTAGACGGCTAATCCACATAGTTTTCATGAACTCTTCGGAGACTTGAACGCCAGCGAGGCCTTTGAGGTGTCTGAGGAACTGAGACGGCTTTCTATCCCCCATTTCCTCATGCATCAGTAACTGAGTGAGCTTTTTTTCCTTGGACGCACTCAATCTTTTGACTAACTCACTTTTTAGCTTGTCGTATTTATTCATCGCTGGTGGGTTAATAATTATGTCCTTAACTTCCACTGAGTACTGGTTGTCTAGTTGCCCTATAACATAATTAAATTTGGTCGAGTCGCTAGTAATTCCTGATATCGCGAACTGACCTTCCACTTGCGCAAACCAAATCTCGGGCTCGTCAGGCCAAAAAGGTGGAACACGTACTCCAACTTTCATGATTTCTTGCGGTATAACATTTTCTGCTTGGACGGTATTCAAACACTGCCGCCGCGTAAGGTCACCTTCAAATGTTCTCTCATCTTCGACGTCTTTGTTTTCCACGTTGCTCATTGTGTCCTACGAGGGGTCACCAATGTGGAGGTTATATGTATCTACCAGGTGTACAAATAAAAGGTAGTCCTGTACTAACACACACTCTATTTAATATACACGAGTACAAAGTCACACCGAAATAAATATACAGAAGGAGAATGCAACGTAAGTTCTAAACAAGAAGGAAGAAGTACAGTGGTAAAGAGAAACTCAAAATGTAACAATAAATTAAGAAAGATAGGCACACGTAAACAATTATTAAAACGTCTATGATACAATGAGATGATCTCTCCGCGTCGAAGCCCGTAAGCGACTGGTCGACTGATCATGGGGGCGGTGCTCTCCCACCGCGAGCCCGCAACCTCTGCCTCAGGAAATTACCATATATGGTGTTGTATCGACGATGCCGCACGGGATCGAATCTACGAAACGTCGACCAACGGATAGGACGAGTGTATAGTGTAAATGTGCGTGTGTGTGTGACTGTATGATTGTATGTTTGTGTGAAATGTAGGAGATCCCCTACAACGATTAAGGAGGTAAGAGCTGTTACAGCATCTTCTGTAGATTTTTCTTGTCTAAAACCAAATTGCATATCAGACAGTATTTTAAATTTATTAACGAATTGTACTAGTCGTTTATTTATTAATTTTTCTATTACTTTTGAGATACTGGAAAGAACAGAAATAGGCCTGTAATTATTAATATCATCTCTGCTCCCATTTTTGTGTACTGGAGTTATTATGGCTTGTTTTAATAACGACGGGAAAATACCTTGCTTAAAACATAGATTAACCAAATGACAAATAATTGGTACTACTTCATTTTTAGCAAGCTTGAGGAATTTGGTTGGAATATTATCATATCCGGGTGCACTGTCTGATTTGAGGCTCATAAGTATATCATGTACCTCTGTCATATCAGTGTCTAAGAACACAAACGAATTGGACTGTGTACGATTAGTATCCAAATGATTTTTTGTTTCTGTATTAATTTTTAAAAGATTATCCGCTATAGACTTGCCAGTGTTAGCAAAAAAGTTATTAATGTAATTAACTGATTCCTTAGGAGATGACTTTATGTTTAACAAAATTGTATTATCCTTATTTGAGCTATTTAAATGGGCTATTCTTTTTATGTTGTTCCAAAGATTCTTAGAGTTCTTAGATGAAAGTGCTAGTTGCTGTGTTTCATATTTGCGTTTTAATTTTTTTAGTAAATTGTTACAATAATTTCGATATCTTTTATAACTTATTTTTAGAACTTCATTATGAGGATCAACACGAAGTTTTTTCTGCATTTTATTTCTATTCCTAATACAGCGTAATATTCCAGGAGTGACCCATGGTTTCATGACACGTTTGCTTTTGGGTACGTGAATTGCAATAGTGTTATGTTGTAATGACTCAGTTATTTTGTTTATTAGCATTTCTATCACAAAATTGGGGTTATCACAAAACAATATCTCTGAGAGATTTTTTTCAATTAAAGTATTAAGCGCCTTTGTAAAATCAGTCCGTAACTTTGTATTTACACATTTCTCTTTTAACCTTATATTTGACAAGGTTAGCAATATCATAGAATGATCAGTGATAGTGGTGTTTAAAACAGCAATTTGGGCATTATTTTTACTTCTATCTAATTTAAGCATAAAATGATCTAAGCAATTACCACCTCTTGTTGGCAAATAGTGACCAACGAGTAAGCCATGCGTGCTCATCATGTTCAGGTATTGAAGCCTATTGTTGCGCTCATAATTCTGCTCTGTACCTTTAGAAATTACATTTATATTTAAATCACCAGTCACTACAATGCGTTTACGTGATTTAATCGTTTCCAAGTGTAGGCTTAAAGAGTTAATAAAGATGTCAGCATTATTGTTAGAGGGTGAGCGATATATACCTAAAATGGTAGTGTCATGAGTATCAATCTGTAAACATGAAGCATGCTCAAGTCTTATTTCTATGACATTTCCTTTGACACCTTTTCTCATATACACCACCACACCATCACTTTGATTGAGATGAAAATTTGTAGCGAAACATGAATAATTTGTTATATTTGGAATTATTTTGTTGTCCGTAAGCCAACATTCTGTTAATACAATAATATCTGGATCAAAATTTAAGTGTGTGAGTGTCAGGTGTAGATCTTCAATATTACTGTAAACACTTTTAATATTTTGAGAAATAATTGTTAAATCACTATTTTTTTACGCAAATATTTTTTGGTATATCCTCTACATCACAGCGAACAGCCTGTGCAGTCTCCGTGGCATCAAGATCATTTAGAATTCTTATGTAACTATTCATTCTCATAAAGGATATATATGCGAGTGTAACTAAGACCGCGTTGGAGAGGTCTGTCACAGTTTTTAATTTGCCAATATACAATCTGTTCACAATTTATATTAAGTAAAAAAATAGATTTCGGAGCTATTAATTTACGAGCATTAAAGTTTGCAAAATGAAAAGAGATGTCTATTATATTAAGTTGTATGTGTGTATGGTGGGTGGCCTGGCTAGGCCTACTTGTTGAAAATTCAAACTAGGGACTATCTGTGCGTTTCGTTTGGCTCTCCACAGACGACGTTCATGTGGAATTTGTGGGTGCTCACTGCACTGAAGCTTAGGAGGCCGCTCTGGGCCGCTTCGTGTCGCGTCGCTGTTTGCAGACCTGATCCGGTCGGATTGCGGAACTAATCGTAGGGGCACAGATAGGTGTTTGAAAGAGGTCGTCGGACTTCTGTCCAGAATAGAACTTATTTATGGGCTGCGATGTGCAGGAAGGGCATCTAGTTCAACCCTCCGGCTTGCCCACCTTGGGGCTGTAATTTTGAGGCGTTGGTTAGGGTTGCAAGATCTGATGGGGTGCCTAAGGTGGCCTAGTTTGGTTGTAGATTCGGTCTTGCAACTTGCCGTCGTGACCTTGTCCCGCTGACCGGTTTGCACGCGGACCTAAATCCTTATGTCCGGGACGGAGGTTTGTTCGCGCCAAACGCTGTTTTGTTGTATCGACGTGCGCGAGAGGGCGCGCGGCTCGGTGCCATACCGGTTTTGACGCGGTCGAACGGTGGGTGTTGAGGACGCGTAAAGGTGCAAGGCAGTCGTCTGTCAGCGGTGCTAACGTCGGCACACTGTCAAGTTTGTTCAGGAGCTCGGAATAGTCCTAAATATTTGAACCTCGGAATAGACGAGTGAGTCATAGATTTATATGTGTGGCCTAGAGATATAACCGTATAAAAAGCTGGATGTAGACGATCCAATGGCAGTAGCGGATTTGGAGGCAGATCACAAACACAATTATCGTCGTTACATAAAAACAAGTCTAAAATACGGCCCAACGGGTTTCTTATGGTGTTTAACTGTTTGAAGTTTAATGATATAAAGTTAATTGGGCGCGGATGGTGGATATTCTGTCTGGGATTTGTGACGCGCATTCCTTGCAGGAGAGCTTCCCAGGGACTCATTGTATCCGACTCGGAGTCTGTATAAGTGCATTCGACAATATTAGCTAGTGCGGCCTTTGATATTCTAG